TAATAATAATAATAATAATAATAATAATAATAATAATAATAATAATAATAATAATAATAGTAATAATAATAATAATAGATTAAATTATAAATATATTATAAAATATTGCAAAATATAATAATAATAATGTAATAATATATAATAGATGTCAAATCCTGGATGGAATCAATGGAATTAGGAGAATACGTTGATTGTTTCCGGAATAAAAATTGGAAACAAATAATAGAGTTGGGACATGATGAATTAGAAGAATTGGGAGTTAATAATAGTAATGCTCGAAAAGCAATGTTATGGCAATTTTGGAGAGTTAAAAAAGTTTTAGTTGAGTATTTATTTTATTTATAATATTTTATAATATTTATACTTATATTTCTAGTTATTTAATATTATATATATTATTTATATTTATATTATTTATATATTTATATTATTTATATTTATTTTATTTATATATTTTTGTTAGGCAGTTAAAGAAGGATACGAATTACCACTTCCGAAATTTCTATTAAATTTATCCGAAGAAGAAGAAAAAAATCTTGAACCCGAAGAAAGATTTAAGCTTTTCGATTCATATGTTAAAGTCAATTTTAAATTATTGGAAAATTTTCCTAAATGGTTAGAAGGATTAAAATTAGAAAAATTTGCACCAATATTTTCAAATATGTATTGGCAAAATATTATACAATTAGATGGTGACGAATTAGAAGAATTAGGTATTAGACCAAATTCTAAACGTCAATTATTGATGAGAAATTTTAGAAGAATTATGAGAGTTATGGTAAGTTTTCAATTGTCAATTATTAATTATTATTATTATTATTATTATTATTATTATTAATTATTATTATTATTATTATTATTATTATTATTTAATATTTATTTACAATTATTTTATTATCAATTATTTAATATTTATTTATTATTTTTTTATCAATCATTTATTATTAATTATTATTAATTATTATTAATATTTATTTTTATTAATTATTTAATCTTTATTATTATTAATTTTTTAATAATATTAATAGAAATTGAAAGGAATGTATATAGTGCCTAAAAGAAAGTTTGCATTGAATCAAAAAGTATATGTAAGAAATACTAAAATGACAGCTGAAGAAAGAGATCTATATCATAATACGTATGTTGAAATTGATTGGAATTTATTAGAAGGTAAAATTATTATTAATAATTATTATAGTAATTTATTATATTATTAGATCAATTATTTATATTATTAATTATATATCAATTACCTATTGCAATTTATTCTAGATTTTCCATCATGGTTAAAGGGATTAGGATTCTTTGAATTTTCTTCATGTTTCAAAGATCTCGAGTGGAGACGAATCATAGAAATGGATTATGATGAATTAGAAGAAATTGGTATTAATTCTAATTTTGTTAGGCAATCATTGATTAGGCATTTTTGGAATGTTAAGAAATCATTGGTAATTCATTTTTTTATATTATTTATGATTATTGATGATTATTGAAAATTATTTATTATTATTATGATTATTGTTATTATTAGGTAATTAAAGAAGGATATATGTTGCCGTTCCCCAAGAGACTTTTAATATCGATGAATATTAAAGATGAAGATATACAAGATCCTTTAGAACGTTTAAAGCTTATAGTTGACTTTTATAGGGTTGATTTTAATATGATAGAAAAACGAGGTAAATTAATTAATTATTATTATAAACTATTAATTATTAAATATTTATTAATTGATTATTAATATCATTTTTATAGATATTGGAGCATTACTTGCATCATTAAAATTAAAACAATACGCGCCTAATTTTGTTAAACTCGATTGGGATGAAGCTATTAATATGCGTTATTACGAATTAGAAGAACTGGGAATAAATTCTTATGTGGCGAGACAAACTATTTATAAGAAATTTCAAGATATTAAATCCGCTATTGTAAATATATTTTATTTATTATTTTATTTTAATATTTTATTTTGAAATTTATTTAATTTTTTATTTAATATTTTATATTTCATTTATTATATTATTTAATTAATATTGCATTTTATATTTATTTATTTAATATTTTTTATACATTTTATTTAATATTTATCAGGCACAAACACGTGGTAGTCGAAGACCTTATGAAGCTGATGTTTCTAAGAAAGAAACGACAGAACAATTTGAATATGATGAATTAGAAGATGAAAAATATAACGTCCGTTATATGTAATATGTAATGTATATATATAATATAATATACACATATATATATGTGAGAAAGAGGAGATTTATATGAGGTATATGTGATTTATGTGAGGTATATGTGAGATTTGTAGATATATAATATATTTCTTTTTTTATTATGATTATTATTTGTTGTTATTATTATTATTATTTTTGGAAATCTATAATAATAATTATTACTATTTTTTATTTATTTAAATATATATTAATTTATTGAATATTTATTAAATATTTATTTATTTATTATTTGTGAAAATTTTATACCAGATAATAGTATTATAACATTTAAATATTTTATTAAATATATTAAATTTAATTTAATTAACAAAATTGACACTAAATATTATATCAATTATCATCTTTTTTCATCTTCTTTATTTTCCAAGTCATTTTTAAAATTTTCTTCGAAATCATTTTCACCTTCTTCACCACTTTGTTTGGTTTTCTCTAGTAATTCAGATAATTCTTTAATTTCAGTTTTACCATAAACTCTTCCTTGTTTCGATATTTTCATATCTTTAAATTGATTTACTCTATCTATAATTAATCTTTTATATTCTTCATCACTAATATAATTTTTAAAATATTTAAAATGATTTGAACATTGACTTTGTGTACGTGATTTAACCACCTGTGATACTCTACACCATACTGTACCATATTCATCAAATCCTTGTTTAAATCTGGCCTTTTCCTCTGTGGTCCATCTACCGTGCATAACGAATGGATTCACATTTGCATGTTTATCTATATAATCTCTTATTTGTCCAATATTTCGTTTGGGAAATTTTTCTTTAATCTTTTTCCAATTAAATCCTACTTCTTTTAATGTATTATATAATAATTTGGATTCTTCTTCCGTCCATCGATCCCTATTATATTCATAATGTAATCTAATATAATTTGGTGGTCTCGCTAATACTCCAGCAAATTGTGACCAATTTTTACCATGATCTTTAACTAATTTATTTAATATTTCATTTTCTTCTTCACTCCAATGTCCTCTCATATTTAAACATATTTGTTTCCATCTTTTATGTACTTGAATTGAATCTTTAGTTTCAACTAAATCTGCTATCTTCTTCCATGAACTTACTCCATATGTCATTATTCCTATTCTCAATCTTCGATCTTCATCCTCTGACCAATCTCGATCAAAACTTGATAATGACATTTTTTTTATCCAATTTCGAAATTTACTACATAATGATGCCGCCGATCTCATCTTAGAATCATTAACAACATATTGAGTTGATAATAATTTCCACCTTTTCCCATGTTTTTCCACTTGAGTTAATAAATTTTCGATTTCTTTTTTTTTCCAGGTATGAGGATTCTCTTTAAATAATTTATGTTTAGCTTCGGTATATGCTGTAATCATTTTAATTTCTTCGGGTGATTCGGGATACTTTGAATCACATTCGATAGGTGTATATGTTCTTTTTTTATCAAAAAGATTAAAAAAATCTAATGCATTTAATGATACATCTTGAGTTAACATTGATAATTCTACTCTTAATTGTTCTATTTTTTTATCAGTTCTATCATTATTTATATTATTTATTATTTCTTTTAGTTCTTTCGGTTCTTCCTTGCGTAGCTCCGGCAGCTCCGGTACCTCCTTGGGCAGCTCTCCTTCTTCAGATAGTTTTAGTGATATTAATGATTTTTCATTTTTGGGTACCTTTTGATTGTTAGTGATATTAATGAAAGTGGTAGCGGTGGTGATATCACTGATATTATCAGTTCTGTTGGTATTTAATGATAAATCAACATTATTGGTTACTTCTGTTGCTTTTGATTTTGAAGTTGATTTAGTTGATTTTGATTCTAATGTTGTCGTTGATGTTGATTTATGCATTATATTTATATTATTTATATTATTTATATGATTTAAATTATTTATATGATTATTATTCATATTATTTATATAATTATTAAATAATCGAATATTATTTTCTAATAACAATAATCGATTTTTCATTTTGATGATGACGATGATACGAAGTGTCTTTTTCAATTATTTTTTTTATTGGTTATTACGCAATAATTTAATTTTAAACGATATATTATGTAATTATCAAGTTTTATATAATATTTTTTTTTTTGGCCAATCAATAAAAAACAGATTATCAAAAAAAAATAAAAAAATCAAACAAGTTTTTTTTTAGATTAGATAAATGAAATGAGAGAAAAAAAAATAAAAAATTCAATTTAACAAAAAAAAAAATGTTATCCTTAAAGAAAAAATTTACTTCCACTTCTACTCCCTCCTCTACCACTTCATTTTTCTTCGTTTCACAACTAAAAAGACAACAAATCCAACAAAGACAAATACTTATCAGAAATGATAATAATTCATTTTCTTCTTCAACATTATCACCGTCGTCGTCGTCGTCTTTTCCTTCTTCATCTTCTGTAGTTGTTTTGAAAAATATTAAAAATAAAAATTTATTACTATTTAATAATTTATATACTACTAGAAATTTTTCTTCTATTAGTACTGCTGCCAGAAAAAATTTATCATTTAATAATAATAATAATAATAATAATTTTAATCATGATTATTATTATTCGATCGAATCATCCCGGAATTCTTTTCCTTTCATTATACATTCTTTAATTTTTAAAAGAGATTATAAATCATATAACGATTTCTCTAATAAGAGGAATGATAGGAATGATAGAAATCCTCCCCCTTCTTCGAGAAAACCTTTCAAATCACCGAAACAATTTTCTAGGAATGATGATAAGAAATTTAATAATAATAACAATAATAATTATTTTAAAAATAAAGATTTTTCACCATCGTCGACTTCAACACCAGTTTCAACTTCAACTTCAGCTTCCTCAAAATCAACTTCAACCTCTTCGGCATCTTCTAAAAAGGAACCTGAAAAGCGTGGGAATACTTTAATTGATAAAATTTTTGCTTCTTATGAAAATAAACCACTTCCTGCTTCATCATCTTTATCATTTTTATTATCATCTTCTCCAGATTCTTCTGCTCCACCATCTACCACATCTGCCTCAGCTACTTCAAAGACCTCGCCATCATCTTCTACTTCAACTACTTCTCCGTCATCCACCGCTTCAACTACTTCGTCTACTTCGAAGGCCTCTCCATCGTCTTCTGCCTCAACTACTTTAAAGACCTCTCCATCGTCTTCTGACTCCACTACCTCAAAGACATCTCCATCGCCCTCTACTTCAACTACTAATTCAAAGACCTCTCCATCGTCTTCTGCTTCAACTACTACTTCAAAGGAATCATCTTCAACTACTTCAAAGACCTCTCCATCGTCTTCTACCTCTACTACTACTTCAAAGGCATCTCCATCGTACTCTACTTCAACCACTACAAAGACTTCTTCATCGTCTTCTGCCTCAACTACTACTTCAAAGACAACTCCAACGTCTTCTGCTTCAACTACTACTTCAAAGACAACTCCAACGTCTTCTGC